GAAGTAGCGGAGCACACTTGAGTAAAACTATCAAATGTTTTTATAGCAGTAACTTTCTTGCATTCTTAGGAAAAAATCCTTTCATTTTCAAAAGAAAGGTACTTTGAACATTTTAAATTGGAATCTTATATAATTTTTATATTGAGTTTTATTGACTCATTTTTAGAAACAAATTATTGGCTTATAAAATTCAAGTTGATGGTGATAGTATGTTGATTGTACAAGGTAAAACTGAAGAACTTTGACTAAACTGATTTCATGTTGATAATTACTAGATATGAGACAAGTCTGTACCAATTAGGAAAGATTCTAGTTGCAGAATAATAATTTTGCAATCAGTATTGGAGAATTTTGTATCATTTCCTGTGTGTTTTAGGAGTATCTGATATGACATAAGCTTTATTTTAAAAGACAAGTCTTCGCACCTGATTTTGCTTTGCTTTTTGAGTCAGGGTCTTACTGTGTAATTAGGCTGGCCTTGAACTCAGAGTAGTCCTCTTACCTCTGCCTCTCACGTACTGGGATTACAGGAGTGCACCACCATGCCCAGCAGTTTTCTTTTTCATTTATTTATTTTTATTTCATATTTTTATTTGTTTGGGTTTTGATTTGTTTTAATTAGTACAGGGTCTACAAGGCCTCACTACACAGATCAGACTCGTAGTGATCCTCCTGTTTTCAGCCTCCCAAGCGCTGGGATTACAGGTGCATGTCACCATGCCTAGTCTCAACTGCCGTCTCAGCGCAGCCAGGTATGGGGTTGGCATGGCAGGGTCTAGCATTGTGACTAGACCGCTTTTTTACTTTCACTCTGGACTTGTACTGAATATGAACAATTCATATTGCCTAAGCAGACACCTTAGTCTGCTGAGCTATCTGGCCAGCCTTCTTTTTGTTTTTTTTCTTTTTTTGTACTATTTTTTTAATCACAGATGTTATGTTCAGAGGTAGGCAGCTCGGCACACCATGTCACATGTCACTTTGCTGCCGAAAACTTGGCTCCCCAACAATCCTAAACCTGCCACCAGTAAAACTAAACACAAGGTTTAGTATAACAAAAGACAGTTCAGGGGAGAAAAGATGGAAAAATAAGAGGATAAAGGATAGATACTGTAAAGTGGTTGGGGGCTTCACAGCTGAAAGCCCAGGAGCTCTTATCCCTGGTTCCCTTTACTGTGGAGTAGTGTCTTTCCCATCCACCAGCTGGGCGTTTGTCCCATATCTGATCTGTTCTCTTGACTGTCTTTGATCCTATATAGGCCTTCAGGCCATTTGGTTTCTTCCTATCCTGTGTAATAAGTGAAGGAGGAGGGCCTGTTAGGAAGACCGCTTACTTAATGATTACATGCATTACCGGATGCAATATTACAGTGATGTTAATGAAAATATCCTTATGTGTGTATATGCACAGGTGTATGTGTGTGTGCACGCATGTCTTACATATTAAGAAAGAATCCTTAGGTAGCTGTCTCTTACCACTCTTTCATGGAAGGCGGCTTTCCTTGTAATTGTTGCCTGGCGCCTCTCTGAAGTCTAGCTACCTCTTCAGGCCTACATCTAATTAACCTAACTGCAGAGTCTTTATTGACCTTAATAAAGCTCAATGAGGTCTCTATGTTAAATCTTTTTCCTACTTATAGGGCCCCTATTCCTATATAAATATTAGGGGTGTGTGTTAAATTTTTAGCATCAGATTTGCAGGTGTGAAGATGTGGGAAATCCTACAGTTTGCATTAGTTGACGATTTAGAGCATTGGCAGTGTGTTGAATTGTTCATATTCAGTACAAGTCCAGAGTGAAAAGATGGGGCTGAGGAGATAGCTCAAGGGCATAAGCTGAGTTCTATCCCTAGTACCACCAAAAAACAGAGTGAAAAGATGGGGCTCTTAATGTTGTTCATTAAGTGCATAGCAGGCACAAGTCCCCCCGTTCCAAAAAAGGAATGAAAACACTTGCAAAAATTGAGAAAATATTTTTATGAAATACTTAAAGTATATTCTTACCTTGTTTTTATAGTTAGAATAATCAGATTATCTTTTAAGTAATTATCTGAGAGTTGGGTTTTTCACTCTTATTTGGACTGCATAATTTTTCTTCTGGCTTTTGGTCATTCCACTTAAGTTACATGGATCTTCAAATTCAGAACTATTCCTGTATTTCTAATTAAGCTCTTACTATAGACAGATTTTATGTTACTCCTAGACCAATGTAAACTGTGTTCTTACTGAACTTGAGGTTTTTTTTTAACTTGAGATTTTTTAATACAGTAAATTAAATTTACTGTTGATTTGGTGCTTTCAGTCCAACAGTAATGCTAAACATTTTTTTTACTCAACACTTATTAATTTTTTTTCCCGTTATATAGTAGGATAGTAAATTCCAGTATAGTTTCTTGCTGGTAGACTAATAGGAATATCCATTAAGTAATCACTCAATTCATGAAGGTCTTAATTGACTTTAAATGTTTTTCTTACCTAGGAGTCTACCATTGTATAAATGTTGAGGTTAACATGTCTTGTGATCAGTTAGAGCTATAAAATAATGATACGGGTTTCTTGTTACAGGATTTTATATTTTTTTGTGATGCTGTTGCATCATGGATTAATCCAAAAGATGATCTCAGAGACATGTTCTGTAAGGTAACTGTGTCTTTGTTGTGTATCTTGGGACTGAAAATCGTAGTTTATAAATTTGAATTATTCTTAATTTAATTCAGACATGGGCTCCTTAAGCCAGTATTGATGAAACGAGATGGTCTCTGTTCCTAGTGAAGAACTTGACTTGGTCTTTTCTTAAAAAGATGTGACAGTAACTCTGTCAGAAAACCAGGCAGCTTGAAAAGACTTTGTCTAGCAGTACCACTGACTCACATGGTTCTGATATTCCACTTAGAGAAAGTGGCGTGTGTTTTCCAAGGTGAATAATTGAGATTTGGAGTATAAGATGAAACTGTTGAACACAGTAAAACCTAAGTGGCTGCCCAGGGTTTGAGTATGTATAGTTCTTCATATCCCTGTTGGATTAATTCCAGTTAGTACATAGTTATAACACTAGGGAATAGTTACACATTTGAAACGCTTTTCATTGAATGTAGTGAGCTGCATTTGGAGCTGTGAACCCAATAGTAAGATCAACAGTGTTTGATATCAGAAGCTGTATAACTGAGTTTTTCTTCTGTCACTGATAAATTAATGGTTTTTATTCTCTGCAGATCCTTCATGGATTTAAAAATCAAGTTGGGGATGAAAATTGGAGGCGTTTCTCTGACCAGTTTCCTCTTCCCTTAAAAGAGCGTCTTGCAGCTTTTTATGGTGTTTAATATAATACACTTAGGCTGCAGTCCCAAAATAAGGGGTAAGTTTTAAGAAGTTTGTGGATTTTCAGGATGAAGTAATTTAGGTATGTGGGGCTTTAAAATTTTTTAAAGCTAGAGACTTTTTATTTATTATTTTTTTTTGACATTATGTGAGGTAAACCAGATAGTTTCCCCTTTGAGTCCTAAATCAAAAGAAATCCAGGTTGGTATATTACTTTGTTTCAGCTGTTTTTTTAGGGGGCTAGGTTGAGGTCTCTCCATGGAGATACTGTCATTCTCAGTGTGGGGATAAAAATGATTCTCTGTTATGGTAAACACTTTGTATGTTGGAGCTTTAGGGAAAGCCCGTTTAGAATTAAAATTGTTTTGGCTCAGTAGATGCACTTACCACTTGTTCTTTAACATATGAGCACTTCCATGTGCCTGGTACTGTGTTTTAAAAATTAGTACTGAAAAATTTTGATTTGGGATAGTAAAGGACTGAGTCCACATGGACTCCTATTCCTTGCTTCACTATTAAGTGAGATTAACAATTCTGATCTTTTTAACTTCAGTTCTCTCATTTCAGTTATGCTGAGGAGTAAAATCTAAATGGTGCACAGTGTCACAGCATATGTAGCTTAGCACATAGCACTGTCTCAGAAAATATTAGAAACATGATTATATAGTGAACCAAGATACTGACCAGTTTTTTAGGTTGTGGTCATGACTCAAGACCTCCTTGACTGAAAGGCAGAGGGTATAACTGAACTTGTGTGTAGAAGATGTACAGCAAATTGAATTATACTTTACTTGGGAGTTGTTCTTAGCGTTTGCTATTTAGTCTGTCTCTGATAGATTTTAATCATGAATGTACTTCACTGTCAGTTATCTAACCTAGAAAGCAGTAGAAAATGATTTGCAGCCTCAAATACCTCATATTCTTTGTGTTATTTTACTTGGATCTTGAGGTCTTGGAGATGTTCTATGAATTTAGCAATTTGGAAAAGTACTTGATTTACTTTGTTAAATCATGAGACGGCAGTAGGTAAGAATGACTTAGCTTTTAAAGTTCAACAGAGAGCTGATAAGTCTTGAGCACTTTAAAATTTGTTACCTCTGTAGTCCCATCACCAACGATGAATTAGCTAGTGATCACTGTTCTAAGGCATGGTATGAAATAATTTTCAGTTTTCTAACACTGTATCAATACTTTTTATTCTTGCCCTGTCTGCTCTCCCACTTTTTTAGAGATAGGAAGCAGGGAGGCATTGCTTGTCCTCCACAAGCTAAATCACTGTCTGAATTTTCCCTTTGACATGAGTGAATAGTAGGGTTTTGTTGTAAAAGAACCATTATCAGGTAATACTTTAACTAGGTAAGCCATTAATCTTACCTAATTTCTTAGTATCCCTCCCATTGAAATTATGTTAGAATTGAAAAAAATATCAGGAAGATCAAGTGGGCTGTGAGCATAGCAAATAACCAGATGGAAATAAGGTTTGGAGTATAGTTAATTGGAAGCACTGGGAGGGTGGGTGTTAAAAATTTTACTTTTGGAGACTCACCAAAGATAGTGAACCTAGCATGGTACTGAACACTCACGGTGCTTACACCAAAACACCAAGCAGCTGAAAATGAAAATGTATTTTTGGCTTTTTTTTTTTTTTTTTTGCAGAACTGGGGATTGAACTCAGGCCTTTGTGCTTGCCAGGGAAGCGCTTATTTCACAGAAAAATGTATTTTTGGCTTTTGATTGGTCCAATTTCCTTAATGTTTGGTATCTTAGAAATGGGCAACATTTTAATTTTCTGGAAGGAAAGAAATTATTCGGGCTGGTGAGATGGCTCAGTGGTCTAAAGCACCTACTTAGAACATGCTTAGCAAAACACAGGGACCGCGGTTCAATCCCCCAGCACCACATGCCAG